CTATGGACTTATGCATGATCACATAGTGTGGATTTTTTTTTTTTTAACAACTGCGAGCCACCCACCGGAGCCCCCCTGTGCCCAACCCCCCCCCCCCAGACCCCTCAAAATATTAATTAAACCCCCCCTCTCCCCCAATCCCCAAAAAAAAAAAAATCTTTTTATTTTTTATTTTTTTGTTCAGCTCGACTCCCCCGCCACCCGACACCCCATCCCCCGAAAATCACTCCCGACCCCCCCCTCGAAGACCCCATACGGATGGCCGGAAGCCCGTACGTACGGCCCATACGAGTACCGGGGGTCCCGTACGTACGGTCGTATGGGAGTACGTACGGGCCGTATACGTACGGGCCTACACACAAGCATTATGAAGAATAAGTCTGCGGAAAGTTCCTTTTTCAATTATGTCGCTTGTTGTAATATTTCTAAGAGCAAACAACTTCTTCCATTGCTCCTGGTTTTTAATTTCCATTTGCTCCAGTTTCAGCAGGCTTCGTTTCCTTTTTGCAAACCAATAAATGTCTGAGATGGGGTGCTTGCCGAAGGCTTGTTCAGCCCGGGCCACGTTCCTCAACAATTTCTTCTCTACTTCATTTCTTCGTCCAACCTTTATTTGTGACATAACATTTAAGGAGCCCTGCAAAATGTGCAGTCCTACGTCTGTCCAGTCTGATTCTGACTCAAGCAGATACTTGGCTTCATCCCACTCTTGAAGATGCCTTTGAATCCAAAGAACAAATTCCGGGTCTTCAAGGTGAGTTGTGTTCAGCTTGAAGTAGAAAACCAGGTTTTCGACAATTTTGCATCGCCAGACAGACTTTCGAAGAATTGCGGCTCAAAAAACTTTCAACAAGTGTCAGGATGGTAGTTTCGACAGCTGCCTTCCAGCGATCTTTTCCTCCACCCTACAGGTGACGGAAATTCGACAGTGGCACGACGACCTTTCGAAATTGCGTTCAAATTTAAGTTGTCAGGTTCAAATTTGCGTTGTCAGGGACTGTTCCGTGACACCCGTATGCCTGGCCATAAACAAAAACCTTGCCCCTCTATAGGGCCGTTTAAATCCTCGGAAGGATGTTACCAACTTACCACAAATTGGAAAATAATTTGAATTTGATATCACCGCAAGAGAGATTTCTGAACTCTTTGATTCTTTTGATTTTTTTTTGAAACCCTTTGATTTGTGAGATGATCTATGGCCGTCGCAGCTACTTTAGAACTATTGAAGTCTGTCGTTTAAATTGAGAAGATTCAGTACCAGAATGTGGAGTTGGTGACAACTCATACAAGTCCAATGCTACGATGCCATAACACTTGAGTGCTGCAACACTGCTATGGGTGGCTTCCCTGTTGGCGACCCCTTCAGCAGTGTCGCTGCTAAGTCGGGGTCTGAAGGTTGATACGCAATGCAAAAGATGTTTGTGGGCTTTCGAATCAACAACACATCTTTGGTGGGACTGTCCAGCCTCAACACGGATTTGGGATTGGTGGGCTAGACAATGGAGGGAGTGGACCGGGGAGGATCTGAAGTGGAACAGGGACTGGGTCCTATTGGGAGGGTTACCTGAGAACCTCCATTTGTCAAAGGGGTGGGGTAACGTAGCCCAGGTAATCCGCGTGGTAGGTTTCTGAGTGATCTGGAAGGAGAGGAATAGATCTCAGTTTGAAAGCCGAATTAGAAGAATCATTTCGGCGGGCTATAGAAGAAAGGTCATGAGAAGTGACGGAAGGGCGACTGGTCTCGCCTGGTTTCAGGAAACATGGGCTCAGGGTGGTAAACTAGTGACAGTGAGAGGGGAGGAGGGTCTGCAGTTCGCGGAGTGGCTAGTGAGCTAGACATACCAGGGCACTCGGTTCAATCCACAGTAGGAGGAAGAAGAGATGGGGGCTCGAGAGTGTCTAGGAAGTAGTGGAACCGCCTTAGGTTCCAACCGCTGTGTAGGTGGTCTGAGAGATCAGAGAGTGGAGAGGTGACTAGTAGGTATAGATTCGACATGTTCTGTAAGACACTAGTTAGGCGACCAATGCTATAGTGCCATAACACGGGCTACGTCTCCTCCTCCTCTCACGACACTTCCAAGCGTCGTTCCCCTTTCCGTGGTCGCCCCCGCCGTTTCGCGCAGTAGGGCCGCCACTTCTCGCGTCGCTTCAGCGCGCTCGAGTATGGTGAGCAGGACGCTGGTGCCCCGCTGTCGCCAGAGGGTGACCATAGCGACGACCTCGACCTTGGCGAGGCCGTCCAGCACCACCTGGAGGACCCGACTCTCCCTATGGCTGAGCGCCTCCAGCTCATCCTCTCCACCCTTTCCCGGGCAAGCAGCCGCCCTGGTCACGTTAGCGCGTCGCCCCCCGAGGTCCCTCAGCAGGACCTCCCTCAGGGCTTTGTCCCTCCTCGCAGTGTCCTTTCCGTTGAGGAGCGCGCGGCTATTTTGGGTTGACGTTGATGTTTGCGATGCCGTCAAGACGGTCATACCTCCTCGCGGTTCCCTTACACCACCGCCCTTGACCGCCACTACGCTGACCTTTCCCGCCAGCGTCGTGCTCAGTCCCCCCCCAGCGCCTCGCATCCCCATGGCGCCTCCTAACCACGGTGCAGTGTACACCTGCGCCCTCCTCAGTAGTCGGCTTCCTGACATCCCCGTCGCGGTTTGCCCCTCTCACTACTGGAGTTGAGGTTTCGCAGGACCCGACAGAGTGTACTCTGCCCTCTGTCGCAGTACCGTCTGCGCCTCCGCAGACCACCGTCTCCCCTCCTTCCCCGCTGCGACTACCGACGCGTCGAGCCATTCGCTCAGCCCGTTGCAGCGAGCAGCGAGCAGCTCGCTCCTTGCGAGAACGTTGTGTCATCTCTTCTGGACTTGAGCATGTTCCAGGCTCGTCAGGAGCGACTCACCGTCCACGTCGTTGCACTGCGCTGCCTTCTCACCATCCTCTCTGACCCTGATCGCACCCTCCCGATCATCCCCGTACGACTGGGGACCTCCACGAGGATGTACTCAGCGCTGTGGGATTCTGGTTCTCAGGGCAACTTCATTTACCCATGTGTGGTGAAAGAAACCCGCTTAAATGAGAGGGTCTCCGACTCCCATCTCCGTCACCCAAGGGGATGACAAGACCCAACGCTTTTTCGATCAAACGATCACCGACCTCCCTTTCTTCCTCACTCTCTAGTCGACTGATCGTCCCCCGGCGTCCCGTCGCCACCGCTCCTCTGCACATTTCGATGTGATGGAGACGGGGTACGACTTCATTCTCGGCACTCTGTGGTCTCGTCGGTTCCGCAGCACCGAGGTCGATTGGGCGACCAACACTCTCGTTCTCAAAACAAAGTGTGGACAGACGTGTCGCGTACCTTTCATAGGTACCACTGCGACACCACGCCCCGATCCTCCTCCCCCGGAGCCTTGCGTGCCCACACCATCTCCTTCTATCCCTGTCACCTCGCCTCGGCAGTTCGCCCACTTCATCCGACAGGACGACGTCACCTTCTTTATGGTGAACGTGACGGATGTCTTACACTACGATCCGCCCTGTCCTGACGCCGAGCTTATCCCTCTGGAGCCAGATCCTCCTTCTATCTCCATTGCTCCCATCTCTACTTCCGTCCCTCCGTCGTCCGTCGAGTCCACCCCGCCACCGCGCGCTAACGCTGACGCTGAGGAACTCGCACGCCCGCAGTTCATGACCTCATTCGAGAGTACCACGACACTTTCCCATCGTCGTTCTCGTACGTCGACATCCCACTCATGCGCGACGTCGAGCACTCCATCCAGCTTGTGCCTGACTACTGTGTTCACCACCAGGCACGCTACAGACTCTCGATCCCTGAGAAGCGTCAGCTTGAGGAGCTCCTGAGACAGGGTTTCATTAAACCCAGCAACTCCCCATGGGGTGCACCTGTCCTTATTGCTCGCAAAGCGGATGGAACTCTCCGTCTCTGCATCGACTATCGCGGCCTCAACCGCTACACGGTCAAGAACAACTACCCCATGCCTCGTTCCGACGAGCTGTTCGACCGCCTAGCAGGCAACCGCTTCTTTACGAAGATTGATCTTCGTAGCGGTTACCATCAGATCCGCATCGCTGCAGCCGACCAGCCGAAGACCGCGTTTCGATCGCGCTCGGCCACTACGAGCTTACAGTGATGTCATTCGGCCTCACCAACGCACCCGCTACCTTCCAGAGGGCGATGAACGACATCTTGAGGGACATCTTGGAGCAGTACGTTCTCGTCTACCTCGACGATATCCTGGTCTACAGTCGTACCCTTGAGGAGCACCTCAGACACCTCCGCGACGTCGTTGACCGCTTGCACAGACATGGCTTCTACGCCAAGCTGAGCAAGTGCCGCTTTGCCTAGCACAAAGTGGATTTCTTAGGACACTGCGTGTCTGACAACAGTCTCCACATGGACGACGTGAAGATCACTTCTATTGCGGAATGGCCCGCTCCCACATCCGCCAAGCAGCTTCGCAGCTTCTTAGGCCTGACCAGCTATTATAGTAACTTTATCCAGGGATACGCTAGATATTCCTACGTCCTTACCTCCACCCTCCTCCGGAAAAACCCACCCTGGGCTTGGACACCCCTCCACGAGGACGCCTTCCGCGCCCTCAAGAAGGCGGTGACATGTACACCGGTTCTTCACCTACCCGATTCTGATCACCCTTTTATCCTTACCACCGATGCGTCAGACGTTGCTGTAGGAGTAGTGCTTTCCTAGGTCTTCCCTTCCTCTCCTGATTCCTCTCATCCTCGTATCCCTCGCTTCCCACCACCTACCCCTACCACTGCTTCCCGACTGACGTCTACTCGTCCAGCTACTGACGAGCCTTCTATTGACTATTTCCCTACCATCGCCAAGGACGACACTGTCGAGTCTCACTTAGGTGATTGTCCGATAGCCTTCTACTCCCGTCAGCTCCTGCCCGCCGAGATAAACTACACTGGTGATGAACGTGAGGTTCTCGCAGTAGTTTATGTCACTCGGGACTGGCGTCACTACCTGTACGGGGCACCGTTCTTGGTGCGTACGGAAAAGTCTGTTGTCCGGGCCTTTCTGACAAAACCGAAGCTTACTCCTCAACAAGCTCGCTCGTGGCGCGATCTATCCAAGTTTAGTTTCACCACAGAGCACATAAAGGGTGAGACTAATCGGGTTGCCGATGCCTTATCCCAGCGCCCTGACCACGACCAGGAGCAGATCGAGCTCTCTTCCATCTCGGTCACCACTGTCCACCACTCGGTAATCGATGAGTTTTGCACTCAGTACCGCCACTGCCCCGACTATCGCAACATCCACGCGACCCTTCGGGGTGGCAAAACCGTCCCGAACTACTCTCTCGGGGACAACGGTCTTGTGTACTGGCACGGTGCACAGGGCACCAGAAAGCCCCGTATTTGCGTTCCCTCCACTGGACAGCTACGTTTCCGAGCAGTAGCAGAGTTCCATGACCAGGCAGCCGCCGGTCATATGGGCTTCCACAAGACGTTGGCTCGTGTGAGCCGCCTGTACGTCTAGCCGAAGCGCAAGAGCTTTGTGAAGGGCGACGTCGCAGAGTGTCCCACCTGTCAGGCAGTGAACAGTGTGAACCACCTTCCTTATGGTTTGCTCCAGCCTCTTCCTAACCCTTAGGATCGTTGCTAGTCCATCTCGATGGACTTTATCGGTCCCCTTCGTCCTCCGACCCCTCGCGGTCATGATGCTATCATGTTCGTCGTCGACCGCTTCACGAAGCGTGCATTGCTTTGTTCCGTGCCACTATGCCATCAGTGCACGTGAGGTCGCCGACATCGTGTTTGACCGAGTCGTGCGTGACCACGGATTACCTCTGAGTATCATATCTGACCATGACCCGCGCTTTACCTGCCGATTCTGGCGATGGCTCCTCGAGGTGTACAGCCCCCAGCTCCGCTTCTCCTCATCTTACCATCCTTTGACTGGTGGTCAGACCGAGATCACGAACAGGACTCTCGGAGATATTCTCCGAAAGATTGTTCGTGACGACCAACAGTGGGATCTCCATCTTGCCCACACGGAGATAGCCTACAACCACACCGTCTCGCCAACCACGGGGATATCGCCTTACGATTGCGACCTCGGCTATCACCCTCGTGTTCCCGCAGACTTCCTTCGACCGTCGCAAATGCACCCCGACACGAGTTGTCCCGCGCTGGATGATTGGGTTGCACACACGACGTCGATCATGAACACCGCACATGAGCACATAGCCGCTTCCCAGACTCGCATGGCAGCTCGTGCGAACCGATTGAGGATGGACCATCCATTCAAAGTCGGTGATGATGTGCTTATCGACACCTGCCACTTACAGCTCGAAGCGGACACGCTTTGCAAGTTTCGACGTCACTTCTTTGGCCCATGCCGCATCCTCCAGGCCGTCGGTTTTGATACGACGTCTAGCCCGGTCAGCTTCCGTGTGAAGCTGCCCGACTACCTACACGAGGCTCGTGTGCACGATGTCTACCACGTCTCGTTACTGCGTTCCTACCGCAGACCGTCTGAGCGTTTAGTTGGACGACCATACGAGCGCCCTCTACCCATCATGGTGGACGGTCACGAGGAGTTCCTCGTTTCAGACATCATTGGTCGCCGAGTCAACGACGACAATTCTCCCCACGTCGAGTATCTCGTACGTTGGAATGGTTACCCTGATGAGAAGGCTACCTGGGAGCCCCTCGAGCACTTACAACACGCTCGCATGTTGGTGTGTGCCTATCACCGTGCTCGTCGTGCTAGGTTCACTTCTCCTCCTCAGCCCACTGACCCTCCTCCTTCTCCCCCGGCTGAGGAGACCGCTGAAGTCGAGCCTGCTCCATCTTAGGCCGACCTTCAGCAGCAGCCGGATGCTTCTGAGCGTCCACAGTGCACTCGTCGTCGTCCTGCTCGATACGATGATTGACTCTGACTTGTCTTCCCACTTCTTTGACTTCTCAATACTACATCCACTCCAGTTTTGCTACTTCAGCTCGTCGACGTTGCGGCTCTTCCTCGACGACATTCCCGACTTCTCATCGTGGACGTCATCGGCAACTTCATGGACTTCGTCACGACCAGCTCTGCCTACTTTAGACGTCATCACTCCCTTACCACTTTACCCTCTACAGAACCCTGCTTGTGTCGTATGATGGTCTCCCTTTAGCCGGGTTCCTCTTAGTTGGGCTCTCCCTTGGTATACGCATATGCATCGGGACCGTAGCGTTGCCTTTGCTTCCCAGCTTACGGATCTAGCTCTGACTTCCCTCACCTTAGGAGTCATTTGCATGATTACCTTACCCATCACCTTCCTACCCTTTGCCGGCCCTCACGCCCTAGTTAGGCAGCCCCGCATGCTTCATCTAGGTGCGCCCAGCATACCAGGCTCCCTTGTGCCCTTGCATGGTCGACCCTCCATAGCGGTCACCCCTTAGGGTCATCTGTTAGGGTCATTGGTTTTGTTCGCTCCCAGTTCTCTACCCTCATTGAGCCTGATGACATGTGTTCCCCCTGTCATTATGTGTGGATGCCCTTAAGTTAGGAGTTATCGACCCCTAGGCTGCATTCACCACCCTCGGAGACCATCCCACCTTGTGGTTTGCGACACACTTCTCTTGTGACATATAGTTGACTTGTGGTTGTTTTTTTGCTCTCTGACTGAGGCTACTGCCTCTAACATTTCTAGGATTTAGTTGTTCTGCTTTTGCTGTTCTTAGAACTATACACTAGTCAGTTGTTTCCAGACTGAGGCTACTACCTCCAACATTCTAGGATCTCGTTGTCATTACTTTTTGCTTTCCTAGGACATGCATGTTAGTTTGTTGCTTCTCCTTTCCTAGGACATGTATGCTAGTTAGTTGCTTTTGCTTTTACTTAGGCTGTTAGCTGTGACATTGTTGTTTTGTGACATTTTCTAGCCTAGGTTGCATCGCATGGACTTAGCATGGAGCTCGCTCCGCATCCTAGACCACTCAGGTTTTCTTTTTCCTTGGAAGAGTTCCGCTTCTTGGCGGAAGCGTGTTTGTAACTAGGCGATCCATCACAGGCCAAGGATCGTGTAGCGGACCTCTGGTTGGCCTATGAGACCAGCCCCTTGGCCTGTTCTCACAGGCCTGTGTTCTATTCGGGGGCAGTCTAGTCCAGTCCAGGCCGGTACTTGTGTCAGTACCTGCCACTCCAGTCCAGTCCGTCAGTCCGCTGGGGTATACCCCAACGGTTACCATTGTCTGTTTTTCGGGGGCATTCTACAACTGCACGATTTTGGAGTATGTGCATTGGAGTCATGCGTGGGAGCTGCGCCGTGCATCTTGCTACCCCCTTCTTCCTTCATCTCCATCTCTATCACTAGCGGAGCACCACACCTGGTGGGTCCGCTACACTCTCTGTCTTTCCCCCTCAGCATGCACCTGGCTCCCCTCTGCGCCAAAATTCTCCTCTCTCTCTCTTCTTCTCCCCCTAGCGCCTCCCAAAGGTAATGCAGCTCCCACAGGTCTCGGTCTGATAACGCCCCCGAGTTAGTCCTTAGTACCCGGCTGTTTCGGCGGATGTGGGGAAGTCCCGCCCAAAGCCACAATCAAAAATATCGGATTAGCCCTTCGCCCCTATGCTTACACCTGGCTCCTTCGAGCAGCGCAGTCTTCCACTTTCGGCTCCCTGTTCCGCTTTTCGTTCGCGCCCTCGCGCGCAGCGAGCCCCGCCCCTTTTTCTCTCCTCGCCGAGCATGTCCCCTACTACGCTCGACGTCCCGAATCTGCCCACACTTATATAGACGAGGAGTCAGGTAAAGGGAGGTATATATTCCTCTCTCAAGTTCGCCTCACACCACCTACCTATCACTACTCCTACTTGTAGGCATATGGGGTAACCCGTAACAGCCGAAACCGTGTGCACGAAAGAACATGCGGGGCTGCTCCCGACCTACAGGTGGGCAATACCGGTCAGGGGACGACCGGTAGCATCGACGGATAAAGCCATGGGGACTAATCCCCTGCACCCCCCCTCGGGTCCCCTCCCCTACGAACATCAGTCGACTCTGCTATGCCGATTAGGGGATCCATTGGTCCATCCCTTGGCTAGCGGGTGCCAAGTATACCCAGGAAGGGACATGAGGCCAATGGGGAGTGAACCCACGTCCTCTAAGAGCCTGGGCAGCACCTCGCAGTACAAAAGCCTTGGCATCTGGGTTCGGGTACAGCCTATACTTTCAACAGCTCAGTGGTGCACCCGCCGAACTACGCTCTCGGGTCCTAGCAGCAGCCGCGCTACCATGCCCCAACGGGCCGGGTCTGTTAAATAGGAAAAAAATAAGCAGAAAAAGAAAAGAAAAAAAGTGGTTGTATAAAGACTCTAACAGGGAACGGGAATTGGTCGGCGCCTCGCCAGCCCTGTGGGTCGCCCCTGTTAGCAAAACTAAGGGGGGTAGCCCCGTCGGGCCCTCAACCCCCTAGTTACTTCCGTGTTGCTCCACTGCTCCCTCATCGCCGTACGCCGGCCTCGATCACCGAACCTCCGCAGTAGCAATCCAACATCGTAACCAATAGGGCTAAGCCCAAGCCTGGGGCCGGTCCGCGCGGAATCCAACTAAAAAGCGGTGCGTCGCTGCGCCCGGACCTGGGAAAACAAAGTTCCTACCTACGACTAAAGCACGCGGCCGGTAGGCACCCACACCGGCTGGCCCAATCAATCGAAAGAATCACACGCGCGCCTTAAAACTGCGCGCCCACATACCTTCTAGCTCAGTCAAGACAAGACGCAGACATGGTCGTCCCCTGCACGGCTTGCTTCGATCCGATTCCTGTCATCTACAAAGACCAGGGCGAATACCCTTGTAAGAGTATTCGCGCCGACAACTTACCAGACCATATTAAGCGACGTCCCCGTCGCTCCACCAAATCAGAAAGTTATAAGCTCATCCAAAACTCCAACTGCTGACGAGGGAGGAACCAATCCGATTAGCCGACAAACTGAGGTTTGAGGCCTCCATCAAACCATGCCAACACAACTATATGCCGCCATGATTTTAACATGGGTCTCCATTGTCCTGACACTAGGACGCTGGTGTAGTACGCATCAATACTACAACAAGTTCCACGGGCCCTCTCAAACTGTCCTCTCCCCTTTGTCCTAGACAAACGTCGGCTTCTCGTTGAGTTTCCCGGTAAGACTCTTTCTCATAAGAAGAGTCATACACGGGGACGCGGGCCTTAAATGAGACCTTTAGAAGGCACTCTCGCCTTCCTCACGAAAAACCTCACAATCAAAACATATGTGCATATGTATACTTAGATCTCATCTCAGCTCTTTCTACAGTCTAGTACATACATGCTAGGTCTCCATCCTGGCCCACCATAGTCTGCTTGATCGAGCCAGATCTATGACCTACCGCATTGTTACCTTAGCAATAGTATCCTTCGTTGGTTATGCAACGATAGATATCCCCCTGATAAGCATTCAATCAGGGCTCCTGAAAGTCTCGACTCATGTTCCCCGCCATCCCACCGGAGTAAATTCCTTGGGGCGTGCATAACCCCTTAAACTCTTACCCCGTTGGTAGACGTGGTTCCGCAGCCAGGTTGTGCTGGCTTGCAGCCATCCAATAGGGGTTGCGCCCTAAAGGTGCTAACCTTTACCGTTTAGCTTGGTATTCCTCAATATGCCTTAGGATTAGCACAAGTGTCTAGACGGTGCGTCGCAAAACAGACCACAGGCCCACTGCGGGACTACGCAGGGGTCTGTCTCACTTTAAAGGTGTTTACCAACCCCCTGTGGGACAACATAGAAAACATGGCCCCTTCTCACAATCACAAACAAATTCACCGCTAGGCTCACACAAGGCCGTGGCCAACTAACTTGATCAGAGACAGCAGACCACACATCCCACGACATCTTAATGCACTGACTTGCGACCTTCTCAGTTCCACTAATGATCCAAGTCGTAATTCTGGTCCCTCTCGTCAGACTTTATCAACTCAAACACTGCTTACCTTGCCCTTAAATCTACTAACCACCTTTCACACGAAGGAGGTCCCTCCAAATAGGTCTCCCAGTCACCCCTCTCTTTCTAGGATGAGCTATCACGCGACCCTACTTTTTAAAACACCTTCCTTTTGGAGATGAGTCTTCTGATAAACAACATTACCACCTTCCTTAATCTGAAGAGGTCTCAACGATAAAACAACTCAGACTGAGAGGCCTACTTATGGGTCATCCCCACAACTCAACCACGACACAACTCAACTGAGCGGCCTGCTTATTGGCCCTCTTCGCAACCCACCCATTCGGCATGGTAAGTATTCGAGTCTTAGAGACTCGCAAGGCCCCTTAGGGTCTTCACACTTCTATCACGAAGCAACCGCGCTGCCTCCCCTTATACTCGGCCCTTTCACCCGCCCATAGGCAGAATGCACGAGTATACCGAAGAGTAGACGGTATTCACATCCACACAATACAAGACATACGAGATGTATCCCACACATCTCTCACACAAAGTCATCATACACTAGGATAAAGACGCACGTGTGAGAGTGAACATGATCGTCACGAGAATAAATCTCACAGAGTCTGAAGCCAAAATACACTCGGGAGCAAACTATCCCCCTCAAGGCTCAATACAAATACTCAACTCATCATCCCTCTCATCCGAGAAGGACTCATGTTCTCAACGTCCAACTCATAGAACATACTCAGGAACAGAATACCTGTCTCGAAAACAACCCCGATACTTAGTTCGCTGTCCCACTCTGCCGAATAACTCATGTTCCAAGTGTTATGAACTCTCAGAACCCATGCAAAAGTGCAAACAAAGATCCGAATCACAAGAATTGAAGCGTAGACTAGAATGTCCCACGTATCACACAACTAAGTCTCATCTCCTAAATCATATCACACAAAAACTCAAAACCTATCAAGCACTGCCATCTATATATGTACAAATGGATAGAACTCACCTAACTAACCTAAAACATGCACGTCTATAGGATCCAATCACTAACTCTTAGTATATACACGTCTAGTTCGTCCTTTACATGCAGACGAACTCTAGTCCTACTGACATATAAACAGACCAGTCCCTATTCACTCATTTCCTCCTGGTTCTATCTTTACAGTTGAGCCCTACCCCCGTCTGCAGTCCTCTCTACCACCCTGCCCTGTCGATCATAGAATCTCCCACCTCTGGCTGTAACTCGTCCTGCCGCCTCGTCCTTAAGGAACCCCTCACACTGCAAAGCCCGGTGCCCTTCCTCTTGCAGAAGAAACAAGACGAGTCAAACCACTTCTTGGGCTTCCCCTTCACCTGAGGGTTTGAGCCCGATTATGCTGCAGCAACCCCAAACGATCCTGAAGTCCGGGCTCCGTGGCCCCAGTGCCCTCACCACCTCGTGCGCCCGCGCCCTTTGGTCCATACTCAGGCGTATTCAGCCTCTGGGGTCTCTCTAGCGGTATGTCTACCTCCATGGCTGCCACTAGCTCGTTCAACCGTGATGCTTCCTCCTCCATTGTCTCAGGTTCAGCGGTCGCCACTGCCTCCGTAAGGGTACCTCCCTGCACCTCCAAAAGGATCGTAGGGGACTCCTCTGCGGGGCCCCCTTCCTCTAGTGGAGGTTGGGATCTCTGTGTTGGCCCCTCCATAGGGTTCTCAATCATCATAGGGGTAGCCTGTTGCGAGGCTAACTCTGTGGGAGCCTTGAAGCTGAAACTCTTCTCCTCGGCCTTCCGCCTTGCTTCCACTTCCGCTGGATCCAGGAAGAACTTCTTCATCCTCTCTTGCTCAGGTGGCCCTGGCATCCCTCCCTGGCCAAAGAGTCCTCGCACCTCCTCTCCCTGGATACCATATCGACTCTGCTCTGTCCAATCGACAACCTTGGTGGCCGAAAGTCTCTCCACAACTGCAGCCATGTCTTGAAGCCTCCTTTCCCATTCAGCTTCCCTGGCTCTCCTTTGCGACCTCCAGGCTTGGTTCTTCGCCTTCTCTTCCGCCAGTTGAGTAGATAGTTGTTCCACCCCCAGCCATGAGGCCGCCAGCTCATCGCTAAGCATGGCGTAACGCTGGAAATATGTGGTCGCCGCTTGGAGTATCCTCTTGTCCGTGCGCTCAATCGCCATCCTGGTGGCAAAAAACCCCAAGTCTCCAGTCTCTCGTGCCTCGTCCACCCTCTCGTCTCCTCGTCCTGCCTCTCGCGACCTCAAGCAGGCGGCATCCCTCATATCCTCATATCTCGTCCATGGCTCGCCAATCCTCTGCTCACTGGTCCCGGGATCGATCGGCGGTGTTGGCGCCTCTCCTGCAGCCTCCATCCTAATCTTCTTCTCATAAATCTTTGCGATGCATGCCTGCACCCTTACAAATTTTTCCTCAGCTGTCTCTCCTGATGGCCTCCCGACTCGCGCCTCGCGGACCTCTCCTAGCGGAACTCCCGCACTCCCTCCCTCCTTTGGCGGTGGGAACTTTGGTGGTAGCCCCTCGGATGCCGGCATCTCCGTATCCATATGCTCAGCCGCATGCTCGGCTGGCTGTAAGGCGGCAACTATTCGCGTTCCAGCCCTCTCGATCTCCTCTTGCTCCTCTGGCTCTGCTTGCTTCAAAGGCGGTGTAATAGTTTCCGATGGTAGTATTGGAATCTCCTCGCTATCCGGCTCAGGAATTCCCTCAGGCCTGTACTGCCGTACCTGCTCCGGAATTGGGGTGGGAGGAGGGGTATCGTCCCCAACGGTAATAACCTCCTCAGTTTGCAGCTCCCCTGGCTCGTGCGGCTCCGCCTCCGGCTCAGGGCCTGATGACTCTTCTGCCGGCTCATATCGTGTTGGCTAGCCTGGGTCTGCCCCCAGCTGCGAAGTCCCCCTTTGGGACGCATCGAGATGGGCCTCTTGACTGTCGAGCGGCATCCTCAATGCTACAGCCTCCCTCCCCTCTGGCGGTGTCAACAACGGACCCTGTAGGTCACTGCTCGCGATCCAGCGAAACTCCACTCGCTCAAGCCCCAGGGTAGGGGGTAGCTCCGATACTTGAGCTGGCCCCGCTGCCCGGACCGGCTTCGCCGCCTGAACTAGCTCCATTGGCTCCTCTCGCTGTGCCAAGGCCTTTCGGCCTCTCCTGGTCGCCAGTGCCTCCCTCATCTCTGGGCCTCGTGACCTCTTACTCCTCTGCCTCCTCTCAACCCTGGGTTCGGGTCTCTCCGGTTCTGGCTGTCGGAACGCCTGCCTCAGCTGAGCCTGACAGTCCTCCCAATCGCGCGCCCTGTCCCAAATCTACCTCGCCAATGGCCTTTCCGCTCTTCGCGTCCATAGAGGTAACGTCTGCATCCACTCCTCTTGCCCGGTCCCGTGATCGCGCATATACTGCTCGTAGGCCGAGATGAACTCCTCCGCATTGCCTTCCTCCAGCCAAATAGGCAAACTATCATGTCCCAGCGGTGAAGCCCTCAGCCTTTGCATCCTCGCCTCCACATCCTACCAGGTCAAAGCCTCCTCCTGGATATGGGCGATCAGCTCCTCAAAACGCTCAACTCCCCTCAGATGCTGTATCCTCTCCAAGGTATACCATCCCTCTCGTGCCACATGAGCCTGGTAGGTGTCCAGAAAGAGCTCTACGTTATCATCGTCGAAGACAGGCGTGGACTCTCTCCCAACTGGCTTGTGCTGATCACCCCCTCTAGACGCTCTCAGGGGCCGTGCGCCCCTCCCGCCCCTCTGTATGGCTGTCTTCGAAAAGTCAGACCTGCACTTCAGGCGAGAGAAAGCAGACAGGCGCACAACAAGGTCAGTCATCAGTCCATCAAGTCTTCGGCAACACATATACCCTTACCTCTTTCCATTTTCCGCCTAGCCTAACCAGGACATGCGACACCTTCTAACAAGGGTTTACTCGGAGAGGTGTGGGACTGTTTACCTATTCCGTGGCCACAAACATTTTTAATCTGGTCCCTGGTACCCAATCCTACCATCATGTTCCGTTCAGCTCCTCGATCCGGTAGGCTCCAAATTCGTCACACCACAGGACCCTATAGGGCCCCATCCACCTTTTGTTGAGTTTTCTCGACCACTGTTTCTCCAAAGAGGAGTCGTAGAGTAGTATGACATCCCCTACTGCCAAAGGCTCCTTCCTCACTCGCGCCATCTGGTCCCATCGCATCTTATCCTCCATGCGGCTCCTTTCTACCTGACCGACGACCTCTCGCAATCTCTCTTCAGCAGCTCCCACTTGTCATGCCCGGATATCGAGCAATTCCTCGAAGGACAAATCAACCTCCAAGTCTTGGCGCCTCCAGGTCTTTAAGAAGCTTTCTATGGGAAAGGTGGCATGCCTCTCATACCATAACGTGGCTGACTCGTACTTGGTGATTCTCTTTACCGTGACATTTTCCACGAAGAAGGCCGCTCGCAGAGACTTCGTCTACTAACCAGGCCTGCCTTCTATCCATTTGGCCAAGAGATTTGTGATGGTATTGTGTCCCCTTTCCACAGGTGCGTTCGCCTGAGGGTGTGCGGCGGTAGTATAGTTTGCCACGACGCCGTACCTCGCAAGCAAGGTTCGCACCTCGTTACAGGTGAACTCCGATCCTTGATCCATCACGAACTCTTTAACAAAAGGGTAATGCAAGTAACACTCTTCGATGCAATTTGCCAAAACCGGGCCGGTCTTTGTACGGATAGCCCGACCGTCCACAAACCCAGTAAGGTTGTCCTGTGCATAGAAGATGTAATTACATCCATTCTCTCCAGTTCGCATGAACAGCAGGTCCAAGTGTACAACTGCACCCACTTCTTTCTCCAACCTCGGGTATAGAGGTTCCCCTGATCTTTGTGCGGACCTCTCCTGACAAGGTACACAAGACTGGCAGTACTTGATGACCATGGTCAACATCCCATCCCAATGGTATAGTTCACTTATCTTTGCACACGTGGCACCTACCCCCCTGTGCCCCCTGCTATACCATCGTGTGGCCCTGCTATGATATCGATCTTTCGGTTCCTCCCACATACAATCCTTTTCGGATTCCCGACCTGTCGCTTTACGAACAAATGGTCATCTCTTACTACGTAGAGGTGCCTCATCTTCTGCGCTTTGGCACTCGCGTCTCTATCCCTTATCTCACAGGACAGGAGTAGCCCTAGCTCCAGGTAGATCCTATTATACTCTGCTGCCCGAAAGACTTTCTTGATCTCTCCTTCCTCGAACTCATCATCCCGGCTTTCAGGACTGACGTCCTAACTTTCCATAGGACCAAAAGAGTTTTTCCGATCAAAATCTCCTTGCAAAAGTGTGTTAGTGAGCACGGACATTCCTCCCATTAACTGCTCATGCTCCTCTACCTGAGTTGGGACTTCCTCTATCGTCCTCACTTCCTCCGCCAAGTTATGTGTGCCTGCCGATGCCAGCTTCGTCATCCAGTGGAAATCTTTACCTCCCCACGGATCCTCCTTTTGGAAGGGCTTGAGGATCAGCTTCTCCTTTTGCTTGTACCCCTTAAGCGCTAACCATATGGGGTGACCGACACAACTAGGTACTCGCAGGGACCATTCGTTTATATGAAGGCGGACGTCCTCTTCTTGATCCAAGAACCTATCAATTGGTGGAGTGTCTTCTATCGATTCCTGATCTATCTCATCCCAGTTGATGAGGCTCAACCAGTCTGCCCTATTCTTGTCCCCTGGAATCCTGTTCAGCTCGAAGTTGAATATCCAAATGTACGCCAACCACCTTGCGACGGTTGGGTCAGATTGGGTATAGTTCTTCAGGGAACTGGCAAGCGCAGTAGGGTCCACCCTCAATATGAACCTTCTGCCAAAGACGTAATTCCGGAAGATCCTTAGGCAATGGAGCATCATCAGCGTCTCCTTCTTAAACTGAGAGTAGTTCCTCTCAGCCGTATTAAGAGTACGACTCTCGAACCACAGCAGTCTCTCCTTTCCTTCGGCATCCGCCTGAACCAAAACTCCTCCCAAGGCAGTAGGTCCAACATCCGTTTCAATGATGAACAACTTCTCCTCAGTGACCTCGTAGTTCGGCGCCCCCAACACCAGATCCCCTTCCTTAAATTTTGCCTTCATCCTCTTCACAGCCTCTTCCTGATCTCCACCCCAAACCCATTTCTGGTCCTGACGTACCATCTTCCTTAAGTGCTCCGTCTTGGCGGTAAAGTTCTCCACGAAGCTTCTCCAAAATCCGCAAGTATCAAGGAAGCTCCTTACGTCCGTTATTGAGCGAAAGGGTATTGGCCACTCCATGATTTTGTCTGTCTTCTTCACATCGGGCCTTCGGCCATTCTCATTAAAGACAAAACCTACGATGGTCGCCTCCCTCATACAATGCTTGGACTTCAGGCCACTTGCTGTAAGGTTGTACTCTTCCAGCAAGCTTCGGACCTGATCAAGGTCTTGGACATGCTTGCAAACAAACCGCCTTACCCGGGCATTACTTCATCGTCTTCCCTTTCCTTTGGACCTTTGACCGCCAAGTCGTCAATATAGGGTTGGGTGATATGTGGGCTGACCGTCTGCATGGCTCTAATCATATGCCTTTGCACCATTGCCACTGCATTCGTCCAGCCTTGAGGGGCTACATTCATATGAATCAGCCCATTGGGCGTATGCATCACCGTCACAGGCCTGTCTGGTGGGTACACAGGGAATTGGTCATACCCAGAGAAGAGGTTTATAAGCAAAATTATAGGCCTCCCCGCGCATGACTCTGACAATGCGTTTGCGTTTGACAATTCCTCTACATCTCGCACCGTCACCGCGTTTAATCGCTGCAAATCCTGTACCCATCGTAGTGTCCCGTTTGGCTTGATAAAACAAAACCAAGGGGATGCATACGGTCCGCTAGAATAATCGGCAACGTGCGTGCGCATCTTGCATCCAGGTAGTCCACCACCATCTTCTCCTCATCCGGGTTGGGGTACCGTGCGCCCCTCAGATTCCATGGCTCATGCGGGACCGTGTGGATCCGAATCATCGGGATCTTGTCCACGTCCAACCGTCCATGCTGATCATCATTGAATGCATACGCGCGGTGCCTTTTCTTTATCAACCGCACCATCAGAGTTCTCTCCTTGGGCGAAAGGAAGTCGGGCTCTCCGATTATCAGCTTCCCTTCATTCTCATTGTTAATACGACACGGATCACTGGTTGCCTGCTCCCGCATGCGCTGTATCAACCCTCGTTCCCGCTCGTAGTAAGCCTCCTCGTCTTCAGTAACGAGCACTGGAACTGGGCGACACTTTTTGTCTATCGTTTTGTACCGCCTTTGGGAGCCCTGCTGAAGCCGTTCCCTAAAAAAGGTCGGCTTGCCGTTTGCGCCAGTGTCATTGCCGGACCTCCCCTTCTGCCTGGAAGTCGATAGACTAGCTCCACCTCTCCTACCTGACGGTTCTCAAAAACCTGCTCCCTCAACGCTTTGATGGCTTCAAGGTCTGCCATGTCATGCGCGGCCACCACTTCCATAGCCTTATTGACGTCTGAAAAGCTTAATGTCAGCACCTCGGTCCCTTCTTCCTCCTCGGGCACCTCCCAGAGCCTCCTCAGCTCGTTCTTAGATTCTTCGAAAGTAAACGAGCCAAGGTTGGGTTTGTTTCTCCCACTCCGTAGACCCGTGTTCCGGCAAGTAATGACCTCATAGTTCCCACAGGCCGGATCGCACAGGAGCAGGATCATCGTTTCATTATGCTTATTTAAGATCAGGCTCTCCGTGCGGCACAGGAACGATCTTCCCAGGAGGATGGAGTGGTCGACGTCTGGCATGACGAAAAAGGAGGTCCTCGCTCGTACCTTCCCAATCTCTATGATCAAGTTCGATGTCGTACCACGGAAAGCCGCCTTGCAATTGGCATCATGCAGCATGCCGTGATCCGCACGGTCAATTTCCATCCCTAATATCATCGCCTCTTATTCCCTGATGGTGTTCATTTCCGCGCCCGTGTCCACCATCCTGGTACACTTCTCGTTCTTTACCACCAAATCCACCTGGCCACACGCTACACACTTCCAGTCCATCCTCGTCCCTGCCTCAGTCCATTCTACCTCTCTTGGCAGGATCGTCCTCACGTGGACATTGAGCACCACTCAACCTTCCTGTTAAGAGAAGAAATGGAAAGCTTCATTCAGTCACCCGACGTAACATACTTCTATCAGGCCTCCCACTTACTCTAATAGAGTCCACTTCTTTCATGAGACTTCCTATACAATCTTTTAATCACACAACCACCTCAACTACCAGCAGGATCCATTAGTAATCAAGTTTTACATACACATAGTCACGCAAAGTACCACTTCGCTCACTCATCATCTACCCAATCATGCCGAATTCTCTCTCATTCTCATACCCGGATGTCGTTCCACCAGGGAAAACGGTAGGCTTCCGTTATCCCCGGCAACGGCGCCACTTGTCGAGCGCATCGGTCCGGCACCGTACATAGTCAGTGCGGGACACTCCCAGCCGCATCACGCAGGAGTTGGTTTAAATCCTTTGTCGCAAACATACATGGAGCTTCCGCAAGCCGCTCCGGCCGAGCGCGCCAGCCATACCTCACGACAGGATAGGGCCTACACGAGGCATGACTTACCTCCACCTTACGGGAGTTGTCACCTCCCGTCGGTGGGCGTATCCCCGCCGAGCTACCAGTCCACAGTATGAAAAATGATCAGTTGCAATCGCAGAGGTGGACCAGCCGAGGGTGTTTCTCGTTCCCTGTAGCATAGGGGGTACGTACGGTAATACACCTCTGTCGGACCCGCACACGAACCGACGTCTTGGGGGGGCTGAAGTCCCAAGCGCGACTCGTCGTCGGTCGACTAGGACGTATCCCACTCACCACACATACACCACTCCACGAACGCAAAACAAAAAAAAAAACACGCACATAACGACGCAACACAAACAACGTGACAACACTCCTAGTCCCTTAGTAGACATCCCATAGCTTCCCGATGCGGAAATGGGATAGGCGTCTCGCGCGAGACTTAGTATAAAACCGCACAGAGGCAGGGCCTACTCATATTGACCAGCAATGCAAACGTACGCAAGCGGTCGCAATGATGGTGAATTGTGTAGTACCCATACCCATGGGTTCCTCGTTAATCTCGAGGGTCGTATTCGACACTCAAGTCTCGACTGACACGCGCCTTGAGGGTTAGTCTCTCGACGCTGAACAAACGTCATGCGCGGTTAAAGACCACACACCCTCTTCTGCACCCCGTGCAGAGTGGGTGGTACACAGGTCTATACCTGTGGTGGCAGTCATTCTTACTGTCCTGGACGCGAGTCCCCCTCGGAGCCTGGACAGAAGTCAAGGGGGTTGACTTTGACGGCTGCCACGGACTATAACGTCCAACCATGATAACTCTGAAAAGCAAAAACAGGCCGGAGGTCCCCCTCTCTCGGAAAATCACAACCTGGAGTACCCCTTTTTCGGTTGGTACCGGCGGCCTATAATAATCCCAAACATTTGTGCATACGTGCAAGTTCCTTAATCCCATAACTTTTAGATACAAGGACGGCGGAGCGTCGTACGCAGGAATTTGTAATAAGCTGCGGCGTTGCAGGCCCGCCCTATACCAATCGACAATGCTAGTCATATGTGGTAATCGCGGCCCCGGTCTCGCGATATTGAATGTCTGAAAAAATATATCGTGGGGGGGGTACCCCTCGCGATATTGAACGACTGAAGGACATGCCGTTCGGCCCTCGCGACGCTTCTGCCTCTAGGGATGAGTGCCTCGATGGGCAGGACAAGTAGGCTCTGTGCGAGGGGAGGTTCACTCCCTGTAGAGCCTAAGGGCTTGGGATGTCGTGGACAAGGACCTTGAATCCTGGCCCAGGACTAACGTCCGACTAAGAAGCCCTCAAGAAGCAGTCAAAATAAATGAAAAGGTCTTCCTTATGTCACCCAGTCTTAACCTCGTGGTACGCTTTTAGTACGGGGCCCCTTAGGCCACGCGAACACTCATCATAGGTGCATCCACGTATATATATATAAGGGGGTAAGTATGTGACGATCACTTCTCACACTCTCAGTTGAGCTCTTCACAACCATACGTATATATGTGATCGCATGCAATCAAAATCCGGAATCAAAGTCACATCACACACCTGCAATCACATCAAAGAGTCAAACAACAGTCCACGCACTACACAGGGTCAACCCCTATCATTCTCGACACTCATACCCCTTGCTTTAGCCATACAAGCGTCAACCTCCTGTCCAACCAGCCTTAATTAAATACTCAGTACCTTTGTTAAATGACCATTCAATAAAAGTCCGGGTGAAATCTTAACAAAACAACAAAGATCACCAGGGCTAAAGCCTTTTAGGTTGAGTGTGGAGTATGTGCTGGAATTGAATAGTAGACTGACGAATCGACAACCGACCTGTTATCAGTGATAACAGACAGTGACCCTTGTAGGGTCAAGCTGAAATTAGTCCAAATACTTAACCAAACGGTCAAGAGGACCTGTAACAAGAAACATGCCAATCCCCAAGCTAGACCCATCAGTCCTTGGAGAATAATCCCCATATCACGATCTTACTCAAATCATTCTAATTAACTAAGCCTGAATCTACCGCTAAGCAGTGCCCAAACCAAAGGTAGACCCTGACATAATCTCCTCTTTACAGAGTGGATCGCTAGAATCGCCATCTGTCAAAATATAATCTTCCTTTTTTAAACTAAAAAAATTTCGGCAGCGCTTCCCATAGGAAAAGTGTCTTTCCAGAACTTATATCGGCCCAAATATGAAAACAAAAGTAGTCTTTGACTTTTCAAAGTTCAATTTTATCTAACTCCCTGAATTAGCAAAAATTTGGGCAGCACTCCCTTTAGAAAAGAAGACTTCCCAGATTTTTACTAAGCCATATATGAACTTTAGATAAGTTGAACTTTGAATTGTCAAAATTTGACTAATTCCTTGGATTTGCAGAAATTTCGGCAACGTTTCCCGTAGAGAAAATAGCTTACCAAAATTTATACAAGGACCAGTATAATAAAAAATCCCAGAAAATGCGAGAATAGATCTAAGTAAAATAACTTAGCTCAGAAAATGCAGGAATTGAGACTAACTCCTATCGCTCTAGCACGTGGCGAGCCTCTAAAGCAACTACCTGTCAAGCTGAAACTCAGACCAAGTAGTAGCCTCACTCAGTCGCATGCAGGCCAAACCACAAAGGTAAGTACTCTCACCATCCCAAGTATACCTGAACAAACGATAGTTCATGATCTTACAATGATTTAACCCTTTATACCCAACTTACATAAGGCATAAGGTCAGGACACCCAAACTTATGGAATGAACCTTACCTTAGCCAGACCTAAAGTCAGACCACCCAAACCTATGGAATGAGCACGACCTGGTCAAAGTATACACAAACACAGAGCAGAACAACTTTTTTTTTCTTTGGGCATATGACTAGGTCATTCTAGTCGCCCTTAACTGTTTAAATAGCCAGATAATATATATTTTTCTGACCTTAGTCTGCAAAGTGGGCATAGGGTTGAACCATTCATCTTAGAAACAATGCTCAGCCGGCCCAAGTTACCTTTAGAAATACTCTTAATTATACTCTCTTCAGGTTGTGATAGACTATAGTCAGACCACCTAAACTTATAGAACAGTTTAATTAGCTCGTTCATAAATAGAATAATAATAAAATATAACCAAATCATAACCTTGGGTTCCAGCCTGTGCGGGCTTTGAGTTATACCACCTGAACCTACACAATAGTCTGACTCTCTGTCTGGTTCGTTCCTCTCTGATCTAAGCTGTGCGTGGCGTTGGGCTGGACCACCTGAACTTACCGAACAGTCTCCCCTTTGTCAAGTTTATTTCTTCATAATAAAACAGAAAGAAGCTAAGCCACCTAAACTTACAGAACGGCTTAGACCATTCTAGTTCAGAACCAAATAAACATGGAAAAACTCAAAATAATCAAGGCGACCAAGGCACCTGAACTTACAGAACGCGCTTGGTCCCTAAAAAGTCAACCACATTCAGCCTTCCCAAATCAGAGCAGTCAGACCACCTAAACTTAAAGAACAATCTGACCCTCCATGCAAACCACAACACTGGGTCTCCCCAAACTTATGGGGACCTCCCAGCCACTAGAGCAATCAGACCCCCTAAACTTATAGAAGGGTCTGACGCTCCACTCAAGTAAAAATAAACATAGCGCTTTGTATCCCCAAACTTATGGGGACCTTCCTGGGCCAGCCTTAATGATCCAGTCAAACCTCATGCAAAGCAGCCCTCCGTTCTGCCTTTCCCAGATGCAATTCCTTTTAACAGTCTGATTTTACACAATCAATAAGTTGAAACTGCACTTAATCTGATTCAGCGTCCTGAAAGTCAAACAAAGGTCAAAATAAGGTTGCATACCATATACTCAGTCAAAGATGCAATGGGTCCTGATTCAGCGTCATGAAAGTCAAACAAAGGTCAAAATAAGGTTGCATACCATATACTGAGTCAAAGATGCAATAAGTAATACAGATAGGGTTTATAACTGGATTTATAGAAGGAGATGGAGAGTTACTTTTCAGTTCCCTGCCTCCAGAACTCCTCCTAAGTTCCAGCAGAGCTCCCGCAATCGGTGGGAGGACTCCCCACAGAGGCTTGTTGCGGTCCTACGGGTTGCAATCCCGCATGCCGCCCTCCTCTCAGAACCAATTGACATATTCATCCATATATCTTTGATGACCATTACTGCCCATGATCATACCACCCAGATGGACATCTTGCTAATTGTCGTCGCATGCTTCAAAATATTATTTCCTTGGTTGAAAAATGTCGGACATAAGGGTCTACTTAATGCAACCCCCCAGAGGGAATTAGTTTCATATTTCCATTTATCCATACCACATGGATCTATAATGTCATAATAAGGCGTATTGTATTGTTTTGTTTGCTGCGATATGCGTGGCGG